CTCCCTACAAGCTCATTAAAATACGACCCCTCTTTAGTACTTGTCACGAATTAGACCCTGCTAGGCAGCGAGCCGAGCGGTAGCTGGTAGCGTAATCTTCGCTGCGGAACGCGCACCATCCCGCACTCTAAGAAACGGCCTCTCTTTCTGCTACGTATATTGCCCCTTCTTCGACCTACAACTCTATCGTGGAATATCGCCGCAATGAGAAGAAATAGATGACCTTTCCTTTTCAGGAATTTGTCAAAGCGCTGTCTATATTATGTCGAGGGACTTTGGATGAGAAATTAGATTGGCTCTACAAGCTGTACGATCCGAAGGACAAGGGTGAAATCACATGGCATCGATTATTCTACGTTATCACTTCTATGGATGACTTGATGGGTAAGAACGATTGTTTTCTATTTATCTCTAAAACCAAGCTTCAGTAGGTGTTTTTTAGGACGAAGGGCTCGACCGTTGTTGACGCGAGAACAAAGAGCTCAACATGCACATAATGTGTTCAAGGTGAGGTAGCTTCCTAGCAAGCTTAGTGTAAAAACGAAAACGCAGTGATTGGTCTCCAGCTCTCGTGCCACTTCAAGAACTTAAAGGCATGAGTCGGGATTGAATTGATGCATTATTTTGTCGGAAAATTAGGCAAGGGGTGCAATGAGGAACATTAGTGAGGAGAAAAAGCAAAAAGCACCATAGAAAACACTAAATTTCCCTTAGGAGGCCGGCCGTAGTACGACGGAGAGACACAGCGCTGCGAGGAGAGGGAGAACGCGAGATAGTACGTCGTACGCGAGAGGACGCAGAGACCACGTATGCCGTGGTTAAGGATGGCAGCATAGGCAGCACACAAGGTGCGAGGCAGGCCAAGCCTTAACTTCGTTGCCTCGCACTTTTGAGTCGCGAAGGTCTCACGTTTCGTGCCCTTGTTTTCCCAAACCCCACTTTCTCACCCTAGAAGGGACTGATTCTTGGGACCTAATCCCGACTCGTGTAGCTACAACGGAGATCGAAGAAGGGGAAATATATCTACTGAAAGGGAGGGTGGTATCCTAGCGGAGCGGAACAAGGAGCGTTTTTTGCAAAGTGTGCACTGTAGGGGCCTAGCAAGGCCTTGCTCCCTGTGATGAGTTCTCTTCGCGACTGTCTACGCCTACTGATTGGCTACTACAACTGCTAGTCCTTCGTCGTCTGACTCCAGCCGTTTTGCCGGGCAATCTTTACCATTCACGTTGTTGTTTTCAACACCGATGAAACCGCCCAGCGCGGAAATCATCGGAAAAGGCAGGGGTCCAGTTTTGGGTGTATTATACCTTTTTAGCTGAATTTTTTATTCACCCTTTCTCTCAGCAACCCATCACATGACTCCCAAGCAGGGTCGGTCCTATCGTTGTGTACTTTTTCAAAATTTGTACGACCCCTACCCGAAGGTGAACTTTGATACGACCCCTTTTCGACATCTCGATCGCGGCCCACCTGATCCTGGGGGGGCGGGGGGTCCATGGCTCCAACTCCCGAGCCTACTACTCGTGAAAACTCACCTTCACACAAACGCACACTCGTATATTGCCCGAGCTGAGCGGAGTACGTCCCCCTGCCTATAAACACTCGCCCGTTGTTACTTAGTTATTACGTCAGGTGACCCTGCCAAGTCCAACGAAGGTGAGAGGGCTTCTGGAACTGTGAGTTACCATGGATGGTGTTGGTCGACATGATAAACTCCGACAGTCTCTCACCCTGCTCATTCCATTCCATTCCGTGAGTACCGATGTGAAGTTCTTCAGCCGTTCTTCTTGGGCCAATCGCATGGACGTTGTAAAGGAGCCGACGATCGTAACTGCAGGCTCTTCATTCTAAATATTATAAAGATGCTTAGTGGTCTTCCTCGTCTAGACTTAATGTTTGGTGCGTGATAGGCGACAACGATGGTTGAGCGAGTTGATCCACATCTTCTCAATCTCAAACGTCCGATTCGGGTCGTTAGGCTTTCGTACGAATCGATGTTTATGGCCAAGTGCGTGTTGACGAGGACACCCACACCGCCAACGCCTCTGCTGTCGCATGTTCCAAGGAACAGTTCTTCTCCAGTATCGAAAACGGCGTGTAGCGGGCGGTGCCTTCTCGTCTCGGTCAGTCCGATGACGTCGTACTTGATCTTCCTGGCCTGCATCATCAGATCTTCGATGTGAGCTTCGGATGCAAGCGTTCGTGCGTTGAAAGTACAGATCGCCATCTTAGTCCTTCTTCGTTTAGGCAGCCTATATCCGCCCTGAGATTCTAGCAGCCTCTCCCGAGCGGTCCTACCCAACGCTGCCGTATTGGGGGCTCCCTCAGGTTCAGGGGAATGAGGCCCATCCATATTGCTGTTTTCGGCATATTGAAGGCACACGAGTAGCTTGCCAGGCTCTGTCGTGCGGGCTAGGATAGACCTCCAGGTAGTTAGCCACGCTATCCTGGAGCGGAACAAGGGGCTTATTTCTTGGAGGCGGCCCCGAATCGCCTCCCATGTACTTCCCAGTCACTTGAATGCAAGCTTTTGGCTGTGCCGACATGCAG